GAATTTCCAATTCAGAATTCAAATTATCCAGACATTGGTATGTTTAGTGGTCACGTTCATAGCTACTGATATAATGGAGTTGGTTTACGTTGTTACAATGTTATTATCCCAACGTTTTAGTAAAGCTACAATGGCACTCATGTTCAGGAATTCAGGTGAATTTCTTGCTTTACCAATTTCGTAAACAATGTGTTATGTTTTGTGGTTAAAGTCTGTGAATACATAAATAGATGTATATATATGTAGGATGTTTTTCATTTGCATAGTATACACACATATACTTTGATTAGACTGCTTTGGTGGTGCAGTGGTAGCGTATTCGACTGCTGTGCTGAGGTCTCGGGTTGGATTCCCGAATGTTTGTTTCATCATCAAATATTGTTTTCAGAGATTGGGTGTTATCTATGTATAATATGTATATATTTACAAAAAAAAAGTATATAAGTATTCTATCAGTCAATCTAACTTTCATATTACAAGCTTTACTTAGTTTGAAACTAAATGGCGTTGTGAGTCAGTTGTCCAAAATATTTATTATTATTTATTTATTTTTATTCCCGAAAGGATAGAAATGCTATGCCTTAAGGAATTCAGTCTGACTTACGCAATTCGAGGTAACCCTATAGCCGTTAACCAAGCACATATATATAACATCTAAATAAATAAACCTATATACTCGTATGTATTTCTAAATAAATACATATTATAGTTAATTACTGCCAGACACAGAACAAATCAGCGGCCCTATTCCATAACATTTGTTCTGGGTAGTAATCGTCCCACGTTCTCTCACTTACCAGACAGAAGCGCTAACTACTACACCAACACTACCAACAGGCCTAATTTGCATTGCACCTACTTGCATATTACATTGGTATTTTACAACTTGCGATTTTATTAAAGAGAAGAAGAGAGCAGCAAAGCAAAGAGAAGGAAAACTTGACACAAACCCTATACCAACCCGTCTGGCCAGTGTGGCCAAAAAATCCTTTCTAAGGAGAGGCCTGTGTCCAGCAGTGGACTATTAAAGCCTGTTGATGATGATGATGATGATTTCATTAAATTTTGCTATTACTTCGTTTTGTAGTACATACTTTTTGTTTAGCAGTAACAGGTACCCACAGGTAATTAGAATACTACGAAACTGATGTAAAATATTACCTCATAATTTAACATTTTGTAGACACTTACTATATTTTTATAATTAAAAAGTTTTTCAAGCAATGACGTTTGTAATGTAATATACATTATTCAAAATTGTTGTGAGATTCCATTTCAAACAAAATTCGTAAGTACGTAGGTAAGTACGTACGTTTATTCACATTTTATTTTATCTAACACGTTTGGATTGGTGATGAAGATGATTTAAAATATCAACTATGTTATTAATGATTACATAGAAATAAATGCAATACAAATGTCAGGTGTTATTTTCTCCAATTAAGACTCAAATATACACCTATTTTAGTCAAAATGTTTTGTTAAATCAAATGGTGTTAGATATTTTGAATTCTAAAATTACATCAAGATTTAGTATAAAAGTATAATCTGTACAGGCTGTAAATAAAGTCACTGGGTTTTCAAAAAAACAACCAGTTTTTTTTCAAAATGCAGTTATTTTGCACCGCACGTCCATTACTAAATCAGCTTTTGTTTTTTTTGTAACTGTAACTAAAACAATGTCTTTATCTAATGATCCAAAGGTATCCCGATAGATATCAACAATAAGAGTACCCATATTTCCCGTACACTCGATGAGAGTACAATGGACTGTATGGAATCAATGGCTCATCTCTGCACAATAGAGGGTAGATTTTGACCTCTGCACGGATCATAACTCACAAGTGTTCCCGCCCAGTTGAAGGGTCAGTCTTGGTGCTGAATGGCTTTTCTTAGTGTGGATACGTACGATATGTAAGTGTTTCTTTGTGTATAAAGAACTAGATAGTTTAGTTACATTATAATGTAATAATTTTATTTGCGTTATATCTATACTAATATTATAAAGCTGAAGAGTTTGTTTGTTTGTTTGTTTGAACGCGCTAATCTCAGGAACTACTGGTCCGATTTGAAAAATTCTTTCAGTGTTAGATAGCCCATTTATCGAGGAAGGCTATAGGCTATATATCATCACGCTAAGACCAATAGGAGCGGAGCACCAATGAAGAATGTTTCAAAAACGGAGAAAAATTATTACTATTGAGAGACGCAGACGAAGTTGCGCGGGTCAGCTAGTATGCTATAAAAAGATGGCGTAAAAATTTAGGCACTATATACACCTCGACAGTAAAAGGTATGCAAATATAGGATTTGTTAGGTTTCATGAATTATATCGGAAAATCGATTTGATTCGTTTATCTGGCAACACTCGTGGTTTCTTAAGAAATGTGTCGGCTGTCAAGTCACTTTTGGGGAAAATAGAGTAAAACATTAACTGCTCTAATTGAATATTAGTTCATTTAAATATTCAGGATGCCAAGTAATTTTTGATTAAATACTTGTTAAAGGTAATATTGTAACCATTGCCAAGGCTATGAAATATTGTCAACGAGGGTAGTTTTGAAATATACTTTTATAGTTGTAGGTTGTAGTTTTTTAGAAAATAGTTAATCTATACAAATACATAAAATTGAAGTGTTTGTTAGTAATGTCAAAAAATTTGTTTCTTTTCATACTCACACGGTTATTTGCATGATAGGTATGCCTAAAAACCAGTAAAAATTTTATTTGTCTGCCTGTCTGTTTGTTCCGGGTAATCTTCTAAACGGTTGGACCGATTTGGATAACACTTTATTACCAGGTAGCGATATATATAAGGAGGAACTTAGGCTATTTTTCCTCTTTCTAAAATTGTGCCCGGTCCGAGAAACCCACTAAGGCAGTTCTTTTCAAGTTCCACACGAACGATACCAGCTAATTTAAACTATAATTGAACAATATACGCGTAATATGTTGAAACGATGTACAATAATAAATAAATAGTCAGGATTGAAGCTAATTTAATAGTTGTTTATGACTATAAATATAAATGCTTATTAAAATACTGTAGATAATAATGTATTAGTGCAAAAGAGGGTTAATAAACTCTATGTTAGGAACGAAGTGTGTTACAATTCTTTTTAAAGAATTCTGTTAACGCTGGTCCTACTTCTCTAGTGGTCTTGTTAACACTTCCAGCTAAGCTGAATGCTTGCGTTAGGAGATATTTCATATGACACTGAATATAGTTCAAGCCCGCAACCACAAACTCGCAAGTCGGAGTCCAGTACGCCTCCGCCGTTTTATTACGTATGTCTAACTAGAGTAACTACATACTAATGTTATTTTGGTTATGAAACCTAATTTAAAGAAATTTTTACTTTGTGTTTAAACATGAATGACTTATTCTGTAGTACACAAAATTCATAGTTCAATCTGATTAATTTGATAATGCTTAGGTTTATGGTAAGTGTAATATTTTTAATAGTAATTTATCACAAATTATTTCAAAAAAAATCTAATGGAGGGGTAGAAAAATTAAGTATAATTGATAATGGTGTCGAAATCATCATCATCATCATTAACAGCCTTTAATAGTCCTCTCCTTACAAAGAAATAGGTGTAGAAATGACAGTTCGGTATTCTTATTTCAGTGCCTTTATTATTATACTAGCTGACCCGCGCAACTTTGTCTGCATCTCTCAATAGTAATAAATTTTCTCCGTTTTTGAAACATTATTCATTGGTGCTCCGCTCCTATTGGTCTTAGCGTGATGATAGCCTTCCTCGATAAATAGGCTATCTAACACTGAAAGAATTTTTCAAATCGGACCAGTAATTCCTGAGATTAGCGCGTTCAAACAAACAAACAAACTCTTCAGCTTTATAATATTAGTATAGATGAATTATACAATAAAAAACAAGTTTTTTTTTTTGAAAATTTCAGATTTTCATTACATAGTATAATAGGTTCATTAAATTATTACCAATACAGCTTGAAGTGTCACTAAGCTTTCACACACATTTACAACGGAAAGTTTCAGCTAAAATGATCACATTGGAATAATGATGAAAGTTACCTTGAAACATTTGGTTTACCTCAAATTTTCTTAATTAAACAGAGAGAGAAACGGTACATTTTACTATATAGTATAGTCCATCTAAAGGTTGCCTGGAAGAGATCGCAGGATGCAATAAGGCCGCCCATTGTATCACTGTTTTTTTCTCTATGTATCATCGCATGTATCCTACTGACTGACTGAATGACTGCACGGATGGCGTAGTGGTTTAAGCGGTCGCCACGCCGCTTCTTACTACGCCGAGTGTTGTGGGTTCAAACCACACATGGGACGACACTTTGTGTGATCCACAAATTGTTGTTCTGAGTCTGGGTGTTCTTTGTGTCCGTTTCATGTATGTTTGTAAAGTCCCCCGCGACACAGGATTTATTCCTAATACGGGGGTTGTCTTTAAAAAAAAAAAATAATAATAAAGAAATAAATAATAATTATGGTGTGCAATAAAGAGTACTTATCTATCTATCCATCTGGAGTTTACAGTACTATAGTTTCAGAGACACACTGAAAATATGCAATAAACGACATTACTAGAGAATAATAAGAGAAATATTACTCCGTGACCACTTTAAATGAGCGTTGCATTAAAATGATAAAAAAACGGTTAACATTTTCCATGTTACTTGACTGGATTAACTTGGATTGATATTTGATCTTCATTGATTGTATTTAATTGATTGTGCTTTCGATTATGAATCAAAGTAGGTTTCCTAAATGAGATAGTTTACACAGACGTTATATTTATTTACGCATAGGTTTTCTTTCAAAGAGTTAGAAATATTCAACTTAATGGAAAGAGAAAAGTTGTGAAAACATTTTTAATACTCAAAAATAAATTAAAAGTTTATTAAATCGTCTGCAAATTTATCTTGTATCTTCTGTTTTTTTTTTCATTATTGTTTTTGTTTGTCTCTTTCTATTTCGGGGCTATATATTTTTCAATATTTAACCTCTTGTCAGTAAACTGATGAAAAGTCTGATTTCAAATGCTGACGTACGGGTATAAACTCCAGGTTGTCCTTCTCTCCCACACCCAATTCCATTAGATGTAACTCCAACCAATGTGTGTGATGGCCCAACAGCCGGGCCCCCGGAATCTCCCTGAAATATATAGGCATGTATTTAAATCGGAATCGAAATCGGAACATCGGAATGGAATCGAAATCGGAATTACATATATCGGAATTTTAAAGAAAACCGACCGAGCTCAAGTAAAGGTATACGCTGTATAGATTTCTGTTGTTTATCACAATTTTTTTTAGAACCATAATGTTTTTTTTTTTTTTTTTTTTTTTTTACCACATTCACACAACGCCATCTAGTCCCAAACTAAGCAGAGCTTGTACTATGGGTGTACTAGATAACTGATATAAATACATATATACTTTTTTTTTTTTGTAAATACATACTTATTATACATATAAACACCCAGACCAAATCAAACATTAAATGTTCATGCACACAAATGTTTGACTTGAGCGGGAATCGAACCCGCGACGTTTGGAATAGCAGTCCGTTACACAAACCACTACGCCATTCGGTCGTCAAGACCAAATATGAAGACATAAGAAAAAAAAAGCCTCTTTCTAACATTAGATATTACATTAGATAATCATAAATAACGTAACGTCGAAATATAGAGGAAATGCAAACCTAGTATTTCATCTGTTAAACGCGCCTTAAATCATTAACATACTAAACCTGTGGAAATTTAGACTAAATGCCAATTAAGTAACATATAATCCATTTAAACCATTTGATAAACCTTAGATAAATTGACTACCTTGAAGCGATCTATATGGAACAAGTTATCGTCTGCGGTATTTCCGAACTGACACGACCTTTAAACCTTCAAGACAAGAGCGTACTCTTTCCTCAAAGGACTCATGAGTTGCGGGCGTACATGGGCGGTAATCGATTTCCATGAGGTTATCCGTCTGCTCGTTTTCCCCTCTTCCATAATAAAAAATTGGCCAAGTGCGAGTCAAACTCGCCTACCGAGGGTTCCGTACAAAGGACAATGGCAGGTCCCCATTCATAATTTTATTTGAACTGAAATGTTAGCGTTTAAATATCAAAAAATCCTTAACACTTGAGAATTTATTCTTGACCATTCTCATATCAAAATTACTTGCGAAAGAAGTCTAGGAAAAAAGATATTGGATTTTAAATGTTTCGAGGTTAAGTACTAACATATTGTTAATGTTTTGTTTGAAACTAGATGGCGTTGTGTGTCAGATAGCCGAAAATATTATTTTCATTATTATTACAGTATATGAAATAAAAAAAATAAAAGCATAACATCTATTCGAGTTTAACACTAAATTAAACAAAAATAAAATAACAAACGTGGTGAGTCCGGAACTTGACAGGATCTAAACCACAGATTAAGAGATATGTACTAAACGACGACGTATCGACATTTTGAAAATATCGATGTATGTCTATTTATGTGCCGTTATCAAAGACAATGTATTTTTCTCATCACACTGATCACACATCACGTATAACTGACTAGGGTCAGTTATACGTGATGGCGAATCTGACATTACGTACTTAGGTCAAATAAAATCTTCAAAAATATCTTATCTCTTATAAGACTTATACAACACATGGTGGAGTAATGATAAATCATAGAAAAAAATTTGATTAAGTTTACTGTGACTCGATTTTTTAAACGCTTAAGTTTTAGGTAAATATGTTTCTGCCATTGTTCTTTGTAATCGTATCATCATCATAAAAATAATTAAAAATCTGTTTAAGCTTGTGCCAATGAAGCCCTTTCATACGATACTCAACACGACACGGTTAACTCAATTCAATTTTTTCTTATGCAATGAGGGCAAATGAGCAGACGGGTCACCTGATGGAAAGCGACTACCGCCGCCTATGAACGCCTGCAACTCAGGAGTCACAAGCGCGTTGCCGGCCTTTGAGGAAGGAGTACGCTCTTTTCTTGAAGGTTTGAAGGTCGTATCGGTCCAGAAATACCGCAGAAGATAACTTGTTCCATAGGTTGGTAGTGCGAGGCAAAAAGTGTGCGCTTTGCACAGTGGTGGAGCACCAATTATCCAAGTGGATGAAAATTTTGCCGTGTGGAACGATGGCGGCCGGTATTCCTCGGAGCATTCTCGATGATATATACGATAGAGAATGCAGAGCAACGCTACATCTCTACGTAACGTGAAGGGACCGAGCTGGTAGCAAATCTTTTGGCTATCGACGTTTTTTTATGATTTAATTACAAATTTGTAGTTTTTAATAATCTTCCCTTTATTTGTAATATAAGACGGTATTAGTTGCAAAATCTCATAGTTCTAGGTCAACGGAAAATACCCTTTTTTTTTTTTTCCGTGCGGTAATCCCCTCGGATACCACCTGTCGGTGGCATGTCTACGGAAAATACCCTATAAATTTTGATTCCTTTTGAGAATGTCGAAATATACGTTTTTGTGTTAACTTAGAAGTTTGATTTTTTCACAGCTTCAAAAGACTGATAAAGATAGACGGACAGACGGACAACAAAGTGATCCTATAAGGTTTCCGTTTTTTCATTTTGAGGTACGGTAAAATGAAAAAGTGATATTAACATTACCTAACCTACTGCTCGTGATTATTGAGACACGAATGAATTGGAGGACATTTGTGCCAGATAACATGGTAAAAATCTAATAAAATGAAAATGTTTCACCACTTTTATAACTACCCCGTCTCACAGACATTTGTTAGAGAATAATTACCTGTTAATAAAACTGTAGAAACCTATTGAAGTAATCAGTATATTGGTAAACAATATTAATGAAATAACATTTTTACCTGACAAGTATCTATACCATCTCCGCCAGCGCAAAACATTCTCCTGGTTATTCCAGGGTTAGTTTCTTCACAGTAGGTTCTGTTCTGAACTTCAACCTCACCCACCCGTAGCTCCTCCACAGATTCTTTGGCATTTTCCTGTGTAACATTAGAACACATTTTAAATGCACAAGTAAAATATCTACACTTTTGTATGGAATCTAGCTGAAACTGCATAATTAATTACGCTGTTAAATATAAAAAAATACTAGAAGTGTGTCTAGTATTTTTCTAATCTTTGGGCCGGGTATTGTGTTGTAGAAATTGTTGTTTGGCAAAACGCTATTCATTCATTTGTTTTTTTTTTCTTAAACACTAGTCAAATCTCAGTGGCGTGCAATGGGAGAGGCCTATGTCCAGCAGTGGACTGCGATAGGCTGATGATGATGAATGATGAGTCAAATCTCAGCAGACTAGCAGTGTATAATATCCAGTTAATAATTATAATAATATTTTCGGACAACTGAAACACAGCGCCATCTAGTTTCAAACTAAACAGAGCTTGTATTATGAAAGCTAGATTGACTGATAGAATTCTTATTTACTTTTTTGGAAATTATACTTTTTTATATACTTTTTGTGTATTTATTGTTGTATACTTTTTGTATTTATAATACATAAATGAATGAACCGTTCCATCATCAAAAGAATCTAATAGTCCACTGCTGGACATAGGCCTCTCCTTATTAAGGAGGTTTTGGCCTAGAGTACCACAATGGCCAAACGGGTTGGTATAGGACTTGTTTCAAGTTTTCCTTCTCTTTGTAATGCTGTTGTCCTGCGTAGTTTACTCCCTTAGTAGGATCTTAGTCGTAAGAGCCGACTAAGGTGTCGACCCACGGGATGAATAGGGGTGGTGTCACTCTGTGTTCTAAATCCGTCATAATCGTTCCATAACTCGACAATTCTCAAAATAAAAAAGTACAATATACATTTCTACATAACGATGTTATTAATAAAACGGTAAACCTGTATAAAAACACATAAAGTGTCTAATCCTTATAGGATATTAAACACCAATAGTTGAACGTTAAAGTAAATTCAGATCTTTTACTTAGCACTGCATTGGATGTAAAAAATATATACATATATCTTTCTTTCTTTAGCTTTCATTTTAAGGTACAGACAATAATTGACGTTATAATAATCATTTACTGAATTAAAAAAAAACACTATATGAATAAATACTCCTGAACATAAAAAAAAAACTCAAAAAACTCATTAATTCATTTGGCATTAAACTTACTTTAGTCGCGCCCCATCCAGTAATAGTAACCATGTTTCCTGCTTCCGGTTTGCTTGAGCTTCTTTCAACTTGTATGGTGTCGGTAGTTTTTCCGTTTATATCCATTCCTTCATCAATAACGATTAAACCAATATCATAGTCAAATTTGCCAGACCGGTACCTAGGATGCTGGTAAATTGAAGTCGATTTATATACATAGCCCCCGTTAGTTTTATATGTACTACCAATTCGCACTATTGCTGTCGTAACACTGAAAGAAAATGAGTTTATGTATTCAATGAATTATAATGGTTTCAAGGCATTGACAGGGTTAAATGAATTTCTGTAAAAATTCTTCATGTGTCGTCTAATAAGGAACTAGAAGTTTTTATATTATAGTTTATGGAATAAATAAATAAGAAAAACACCCAGAATGAACCAACATATCAGCACATCAACAGCCTTTTATTCTGGACATATGCCTGTCCTGAGACAACAGGTCTACTGTACTACGCTGATCACTGGGTTGGTATAGGGTTTGTATCAAGCTTTCCTTAATTTTGCAGTGCTGTTATCCTACGTAACTTGCTTCCTTAGTCATGAATAAGGGTGAATAAGAGTGGTGCTGCTCCGTCACCATCTGAACCTGTCACCACACGGATGTCAATATAAATGAACTATCACAACAAGAAAGAAAGCTATCATTGTAACAGAATGGTTAATTTTATTTATATTAGTTACTCTTACTTGTCAAGACAGTGTGCCGCTGTCAAGATGTAGTTCTTACTGATGATAGCACCACCACACGTCATAACAGCGCCATCGTCGGTTTGAAGCTTACAGAAAGCATTATAAGGATATTGTTTAATGTCAGTTTTACTACCCTCGACAATTCTATTGCTATCAATGTGGTGGTTTTCGCACCATACACCTGAAAATAAACATTGAGTAAAAATTGAGAGAGAGAGAGACGTGTACCGACAAATGCAAACAATTGTGATCGTTATACGAGCATACTTAGAATTGATTACAGGTATGATGAACTGTACCTCGCGTATAAGTTGCAATGCATAGTAGTATCCAAAAAGTGATTTTTGTACACATGTTCTTGTTAGGAGAGGAAAAGAGATATGATTCTCTGGTAAAAAATCAAAGCTTTAAATAGGTTTGTGAATATTACAATGTATGTGTTTGTGGCTTTAATTTTTTATATTCATTCATCTTGTCGGGTATTTATACGATAAGACCCTTATCAAAATGGAATATGTTACTTCGTTTTTTAACTTCCTGTAGAATACTTGCGTTATAATTATTATTTTCTCCGACAAGGTAAAATTTATGTAGGTCACATGCTAATATATATCAATTGAAGCCGTCGCAAAGACTTCTGTCAATATCATTGTCTGCCCATGAAAATAATAATTAACTCTTTTTTTTTGCACTGTTATGTACTATAAACAATTTATAAAGGTACTAGCGATCCACGCCGTCTTCGCAAGGGTGCAATATAGATACTACTAATACTAGTAATGTGGTGTCAATATGGAGTAATTCATGATACTATTATTAGGATACTATTATTATTATGATAAGACTATGCTACAGGACATCTTTTTATACAATATTTACAGTAATACCGCTCCTGCCAGCAGGTAACGGTCGTTTTGCCCCACATTTCAAATCTCTGATATCTACTAAGATATTAATTTTAATGATAGGTTGTAAAATACAATTATGATCTATATTAAATACACAATGCACCTAATATTAATTCGGATAATTAATAAAACTGTATTGGAAAATGGGTTCGTAAATTACGCATTATTTTTTGTAATATTCTGTAAAAGATAAAAGTGGTTACTGTGGGTTATACTTAGGAGATAGACATATAACAACGTAGACTGTTTTGTACATCTTTTTAGATATACAATACCGTAGTACATTACTTTGATCTATCTCGTAAAGTGCGTCTACATTGCAAACGCTGGCTAACGTGTGCAATGTAGGCGCACAAAATCATGTTGTTTATGACTTCACATAACAAATATTTGAAGTTCTTGGATTTTCTCCACTATAATATGCATATATCACATTTATAAGCCTCTCTCTTGAACCATTCTCTCTATTATTGAAAACCGTTTAAAATCCGTAGCGTAGTTCGAAAAAAAACAAAAAAAAAACGACTTCATTTAATACTGTGTAAAGATTTAAAACTTAGACACACTAAATTTTTGGTTTGTTACGCTTTCACGCCTAAACTACTAAACCGATTTTAAAAACTGTTTCACCAATGCAAAGCTACATTATCGGCAAGTAACATATGCTACTTTTTGCTTTTACTTTTACTTTACTTTTACTTTACTTTTACTTTACTTTACCTTTACTTTACTTTTACTTTACTTTTACTTTACTTTTACTTTACTTTTACTTTACTTTTACTTTTACTTTTACTTTACTTTTACTTTACTTTTACTTTACTTTTACTTTACTTTTACTTTACTTTTACTTTACTTTTACTTTACTTTTACTTTACTTTTACTTTACTTTTACTTTACTTTTACTATGCAACATAAACGAGGACGGCAGCGCGCAAAATCTAGTAAGACATCAATGTAACAGTAACAGCAAAATGTGTGTTGAAATTTTAAAGAAGACGACTTGCCTCCCGGCATTCGTTCTGCAATTCCACATGCTAAGCGCTACATCTCACGCTTCGCTTCTGAACTTTGGACCATACCGAGACAAGATGGACATAATGGAAGGAACGTGACCTGCTTGCGTTGATGTTGGCCTTATTGTATCCAGTTCCTTACATGCGCCTACGTAGCAGTGCACGTCTGCATCTCGCTTTGTTCCCACGCACGTTTTAAGTATTTCACTGTTTCGTTAAATTTGTTTATTTTTAATAAAAGTTGTTGCAACGTTAACAAATAATATCGTTCATTTTTCTACGCCAATGGAATTATTTTCTTCATTCTATTAAGATTTTTTGTTCACGGTTCGGAAATAAAAAAAAACCCTGGATTAATTTAGAAACACCTCCACAAAGAACGAAACAAATAATAAAAAACGAAACGAAAAATATTTTTATAACAATTCTACACATATGTCTCGAAATTGTTTATGGTGCGTATGAATTTTTCTGTACACCTTTTATGCTTTGCAAGTACTAAGGACTCCAAACAGCAGTAGAGATTGCAGTCGAGGTCCCATTAGATATAAATATGAACATCCAAGTGATGTTTAGGATCTGCAGTGCTATTCTCTAAGGAAACAGCCTTGCGTACGCCTAACTTCAAACTAAGTTCGTTTGAAATTCAACGCTACAGCGATGTCACAGCGTCGAATTTTGAATTTTAAATTAAACTAATTGTCGATGCTCTAATAGCCAATAAAAAATGACAATTTTTATATCATTAGCATACATTAAAAGACAGAATTGATGAAAAATTATTTGACTTCATTTATGAAGATAATAAAACAAAATAAACCCCAAAATAGCAAATTACCGTAATCACATACTACATACATCAAAATAAGCCCCAAAATTGATGTCTGGGTGACACAAGACTTAGCAATAGTACAGTCAGAGTTAAAACCATTAAATGCAATAGATTAAGTTCTGTTGTGTTTTGCAAATTTGAGCAGATTATCTCTAATCCCATTACATACAATTTTGGCCATAAGTAACTTATAATTCATTCCGTCTACCTCAACACAATAATAGGAATTCTGAAGTGCACTGCTACGTAGGTGCATGTACGGAACTGGATACAATAAGGCCAACAGCAGTGCAATCAGGTCACGCCTCCTTCCGTTACGGCAGTCAAACTTGTAAGTTCACTATAAAAGCTAAAATCAAAACTAGATCATGCCAAAGCGGAATAAAAAGAAGCATATTAAACTTGAAAAAGATACAAAAAGTACCAAAAAATACTATTTGGGAAAAGACTAAGGTTGTTGATACCCTATGTCACTGCACAAAATTTAAGTAGCCCTGGGCCGGCCACATAACGCTGCTCACAGATAACAGATGGACGAAGAGATTGACGTCTTGGGTCGGACCAGCAGGTTCTAGGAAGAGGGGCAGACCAGTGGCCCGGTGGACAGATGACATAACACAAGTGGCTGGCGATCATTGGATGGACACAGCAACCAACAGAGACGGGGTTCTTACTACTTAGTTAGCGCACGTGTGATTATATAAAAGTATAGCATTTAGTAATTAAGGCCTGGATACAATTTTTCTTTTTCTTTTTTTTTCTTTTTATAGAAAGGCAACTCATGCAATAGGAATAAATCCTGTGTCGCGGGAGACTTTACAAACATACATGAAACGGAAAAAGGACAACAAGACTCAGAACAACAATTTATGGATCACATAAAGTGTGGCCCTATGTGGAGATCGAATCCACAACACTCAGTGCAGTAGGAAACGGCGAGGTGACTGTTAAACTACTACGCCATCCGTGACAACAGCTAATATTTTTATATCAATTCCAAATTGTTTGGCATTTTAGATTGAAGTATTTATCATGTATGGTGTATAAGTTTTTTTTGAACAATGCTCTGCAAGTACCTATTGTAGTAATAACACTAAACAGGGACTGCATACTCTACTTTAGATCCAATTAAGGCTCTATGCGAATGAAGAAAAGATTTTTTTTGTTGTAAGCAGATCTGCCAATGAAACCCTATGATCAAGACGAACTTCCGAGCAGATTAGGTCTAATCTCATTAAATGCTATTTCGTCCATAAATAATTTAAGATCCATTCTGTCAAAAGTTTTTCAAAAGTCAGTGCACAGCATTTACTCGAATGCGAAGATCCATACAAATACTTTAATTGCTTTAAATGAGGATACAAAGTGGTGGTTGGTTGTAAGTAAATTAAATTTACAAGCTCATTTAGCCATTCAAGTAACAGCATGCAATTTTTCCTTAAATGCAACTTTCATATTTTCATAAAGTATTTCGTGAATACTATAAGGTTAGTGGTAATAGAACAAGATTGAACATAACTGTACGAATCGAAAGCAATAAGAGGTTGTAAAGTATAAAACAATGCACCAAACTTTCGAACACCTAACATATAGAAGTAAACTGGGTAAAATTAGGATGATACTTCTCAATGTTTACATCGCCACTTCTGGTGAGTTTATTTTAGTAAACTCGTTATTATTGTTTTGGCGACCGGATGGCGAAGTGGTTAGTGTAACGGACTGCTATTCCAAAGATCGCGGGTTTGATTCCCGCTCAAGTCAATATGTGCATGAACATTTATATGGTTTGAGGCTCATAGTTTGAGACTAGATGGCGTTGTGTGAATGTGGTAGAATATTATTATTAGCAATATAAACACATTTTGTAGATATGTAATGTTTCAATGGCCAATAATGTAAATGTAATGTCTCAAAAGATTTATTACATATTGTTTTTTGATGCCAGCAATTGTAATTGGCAATCAGAGGTACTAATAAACATATTAAGAATTCGATCCAAAACACTTTTGCACGTTATCATGCTGATTAACTTATACATTACTTAACGACTAATACGATAGGTTGATTGAATTAAATTATTTGAGATTATGATACACATGTGGTTTGATGGTGGTTTTTTTTTTGTTCACACATCTCACACACGGCCGTCTAATCCCAAACTAAGCAGATCCTGTACTATGGTAACCAGACTGCTCATAAACATACTAATTGTTTCTAAATACATACATATTATAGATAAAGTATACCCAGACACAGAACAAATGACCGTGCTCATCACACAATTATTCATCCTGGGTAAGAATCGAACCCACGACCTCAGGGTCACTAACCACTAGACCAAAAAGCTAGTCAATTGTCTGTGTAATTTTTATTAAAAGTCAAAGTATGCTACGCATAAATCTTTATGTATTGATATGTCAGCAGCATTGATAGCGAGCGACAGCACTATGATTGTTGATTGTTGTCATAAAATGTTCTGCGTTAGTGAGAACCAGCCGCATCTTCAGTTTGGCCGCCCACAGCTCGCGTAGCACAGCTGTTAATACCCTCCACCATCATTTTGTGCGTGGAAACCATTATTCTAGATACCTACTATCTAAAACGTGAAAAGAACACGATTTGTATTTATAAATAAAATAGCTTTACGCTCGCCACCACCCCCATTTATCCCGTGGGTGTCATCAGAGCCGACTAAGGGAGCAAAACAAGGGCATTGCCAAGAGAAGAAGAACTTGAAATAAACCCTATACCAACCCATCTGGCCAGCGCGGTATAGTAGGCCAAAATCTATTTTCTAAAGGGAGGCCTATGTCCAGCAGTGGACAATTAAAGGCTTTTGATGATGATTGACCTTGCCACGCCTAACTGTGGCGTATTGTGGTTGCATTGCTAAGAAATGAGGAACAAAACTGACACAAATAATAGAAAGAAAAAAACTTTGTGACGGGTTGTATATTGTGTCAAAATTTCAGCTCAATCGGTGCAGAAGTTTTTGAGTTTATGAAGCGTACAAAAACCAACTTAACGTTTATATATATTTAAATATCTACATAATAGAACTTTGTACATTCGTTCATAGTTCTGGTAAATAATTGTTTAACAGTTAAGGTAAAATATAACGTAAATTAACATATTTTACAAAATTTTGATCTCAATAATTACATTACTCTTACCATAAATATCATGAATACCCATTTTAACATTACTCACCAGTATTAAATAAACCCTGGCGATGACAGCCAATTACAGTAAATATTAGTGCGAAATATCAAATTACCGTAATCACATACTCATTTGAACAAGCTTTATCGAGGGAAATTTTAGTTACATGATTTAGTGCTTGTCATAATTTGAATTGGAAATTTACCATGCATTTTCTTTGAAGACGGTGCATATTGTAGACGTGATTGCAATTTTTTAAACCAGTAACGTAGATCGTACTTTACTAACAGTCTTTCCAACCCGTTTAGACACCTTAGCTAAGTGCTTGTGGAGCTAAAATGCAAAATATGTTGAGAGTCGGCGAAATTATAATTATAATTATTAATAGTGCATTCGGCGAAATTCGAAATTCGTTATTTCTTGGCTGGAACTCGACAATCACTGATGACGCGTCCGAAATCTTTTCGTTTATTGTGATTCATTACATTTTAGACTTACTAGTATGTTGCGTAACTTCAGTTATTGCACTTTTGACCTTTTTAAAAACATTATTTGCGCTAAAACACGAGGTACAAAAGGTTCTGTAAACACTTACAACTAGTTAAGGAAACTTTTATAGTCATTTATAGTTCGATCTGACACTTTTGTCGTAAGGTTTGTATAAGTGTCAGGGGAGTATTGTTTAAAAGTAAGAGCTACGTAATAAAAGGATAGATAAACAAAGTTTTACTGGATAATACGTAATCCCCAGGGAGAAAATAACGGTTTCGAATAACAGTGCTCGTGGGTTTAATTCGACACCAGGACAAATAATCATGTTATAATAATGACCATTTACCATTCTCGTAGTACATTTCTTACTTTTATCATTTTACAATATTATGCGAATAGTTAGCTGTGTAAGAAACCAAGAAAGGCTGTTGTACATGTATAGTTGACAATACAAGACGAATCCTTTTAAAAAAAAGGTTCCTCCTTTATGAAGTCGGTTAACAAAAGAAACTCGTAACGAAGATGTTAAAAATACGACAAAATATTATCAATACAAATAATGATGATCACTGTAAACTTAAAATTGAAAACAGGCAAACTCTACCTTGTGAATAAGTGGCGATACATAGCAGTATCTAATAATAAATTTTTGTATACATGTTCTTGTTAAGAGAGAAAAAGAGAAATCATTCTCGGGTAACAAATCAAAGCCTTATATAGGCCTGTGCGTGTTATAATGAATGTATTTGTGGTTATAATTTTATTATTTTCTTGTAACTAGACTCTATTAAAATGTGGGGTGGAAGATCCTCATGGATGTCCTTCGCCCAGTGGGGAATGGCGAAGGGGTCTGTCGGACTCATACCGACTAAAAACCACCTCGGTGATCCTCTCCTTGCCAATGGCCGGGGAGCGAGAATCGCAATTGCATTCTTTCGCCACCCCCGACAGACATTGGCCCGTCTCGCCTAAGACGGGTCTCGTCACCTGTTGCGACCGTTACCTTTCGGTCGCAGTCCTCTAGGAATGCACACGGAACACGGTGCGCTCCCTCTTGGGCCTGTATCTGTTCAGACGACGAATCCCCCGAAGTCGTCGCCCGCAGGCCACTTCCTAAGGTAGCCGGAGATCGACAAGTGCCCTCCGGCGCCCGGTGCGCCTTCTGCGGGTAGAGACAGCGATGTTGCGTTCTCTCTCCCGTCCTGCCGCTTCCTTTGCGGGCATCACATGTTCGCAAAAGGAAGCGAAGGCGCTCCATGCACTCTCGCTACGGACCATGGATAAAACCAAGATCGGAAGCGAGAGGCCACCCGCAGAACTGACTGCCGCGATAAGATCACGACGCTGGCTAGCCCAAGATGAGCATTCCGCCAGCGTGTGCAGCGATGTGTCGTCAGGACAGTCGTCACAGTGATGGCACCGTGACGTCGGCTCCCGGCCGATCCGACACAATTACTTGCCGAAGCAACCATGTCCGGAAAGCACCTGTGTCATCGGGAAGGTGAGAGCTCCGTGTTTCCTCTCCAGCCACTCTCGTAGGACGGGTCTTACCGCCGCTATTGCGGCGTGCCCCAAGGACATTTTATTTCATTTATCTTATTTTATGGTTTATTAACCCTTTTTTGTACTATATTGTATTGTATTTGTATTTTATTTATTCTTACGTACACAATATAAATATTTAAAAAAATACATTAAGGACATTTTATTTCATTTATCTTATTTTATGTTTTATATCCAAACTAGACTATACTTGGGACCAATTGTCACTTATATTACATATAGATAACATTTTCTTTTACTCATCTGAAGTTGGCAATTCAGCTAACTGGGCGCTTAATGACCCCAACTGATATTTTTTTTATTATTCTTTATGCGAAATTATTACAAAGAGTAACTTAATTCCTATAGGTAGACTTTAGGTTGGCCATAAATTAATAAAAAATATTAACTTTTAACATCTTGTAATAATAAGATGTTAAAAAGTTAATATTTTTTATACACTCTCTATCCATCTACAAAACGACAGGGACCCGGGCGCTTAACGTCTGGTCCTCGTGATTGTGAATGGCGCCGTTTGAACAATCGTGTTTGTACTCGGAGCAAATTCAACAAAAAATATTAACATTGTTACAAGAAGAAGTGGAAAATGAAATTCTTATGTCATCAAAGAAAAAAAAACATCTAATTCATTATTCATAAAATCACCGACCCACATGAATTGTTGATTGATTTACCGAACAAGGTAGTATTATATCGTATTGGGGCGACTCCTACATACAAAGAAACATACTACAGCGCTATCTAACATAACATCAAACAACGGAGTAACTACTGAATGAGATTTGCTAATCCTGTATCGCGATATGAAGAGTTCTCTTGCTGATTAGCATAAATATAACTTCCCAACATCAACCGTTGGGCCGCGGCCAGCTAGGCATGATCACCTCGCCTGGTCGGAGGGCGCTTACAATAGGAACGCGTGGATGTATCAAGTTGAAATTAACACCATATACTCAAGCCCACAGTTCCTTGAAGTTGTAATAAATCAAAATTCTAAGTTAATGAAAAAGTACGGCCGTTATGGTAAAAAACAAACGCATATTTCGACACGCAAGGAAATCAAAATTTATAGGGTACTTCCCGTGACCTATAACTATGAAAGGATAACGGCAGGCGTGTATGGGACTTTTGTACCGCCTTGCGAATCTCATGACAAACATACTCACTTTCAAATTTATAAGTATAGATGTTCACAAGATAAACGCAACAGATGTGTCTAAATTTAAAAAAAAGTGCTTAGAAAAATACAAAATTGAAACAGTAGGACCGATATTGGTGAAATAGTCTATAAGTAATTAGTAGAAATTAGTCAAATTTGAGATGAAGTAATAATTTAAGATTACCTTCAAGGTCGTATCGTATATTTAAGTGTTTTATTTTTGCTAGCTATTTATAGTACAAAATTGCTGATCATTTTTTAGTATAAATAAATTGAATACTATAGTGTACCTTGTGTGCAAGTAATACATGTAATACATAGTAATATGCAGTTATTATAGTCGGTGTGGTGTTCATCCCGTGGGTGTCGTAAGAGGCGACTAAGGGAGCAAAATACGCAGGACAATAGTACTGCAGAGAGGAGGAAAACTTGACACAAACCCTATACCAACAAGTCTGGCCAGCGTGGTGTAGTAGGCCAAAACCTCCTTTCTAAGGAGAGGCCTACGTCCAGCAGTAGACTAGTAAAGGCTGTTGATGATGATGATGCAGTTATTGATTCTATTATACATGTTTATGATAGAGTAGAAAATATAGTTTTGATATCTCAAATGATAAGTGAAAAGCTTATATAGGTAGCAATATTAGAATGTTGCAGAATAGATATTATTATTAGAGACCTATATGATAAAACACCTATAAAATAGGTGACAGTGATGTTTCCCAAAGGCCAACTATTTGTAAGTGGTTGATATCATTCACAAGGATTCTGGTATACCACGTCATAATTCTTTTTTTTTTATCGAAAGGGGTAAACGAGAATACGGGTTGTCTAAATAAGAAAGCGACAAGCGCCGTCAATGGACACAATGCAACTCAGAATTCTAGGAATTGAGGGCGTGTGGACTCTGGTAATCTGACTCACTCGGTAAAATGCAACGAAAGTAATGCTTAATAGTGGTTTTCTGTGAGACTGTGGCCGTTCAGTCCTATTTGAACTCGGGATTGGGATCAGAATAAGGGATTAATCAATAATAAATTTGATAATTTAGTAACAAAAAGGTCGTACTCCCACCTCAAAGGCTAGCAACGCTTGAGTTGCAGCTGACCATGGGCTGGTCGCTTACTATCTTATCCTGTTGCCTGTGACTTGTCTGCTCGTTTGTCTCAAATGTCTTAAAATAACCAGTTGTAGGATACGGAAAATGTTTCTGTAACCTCATAGAACCGTTTACCTCATAAGTTAACACTATCAAAGGCTTATCGTGGTTGAGACGTCTTCTTATTTAGTCAAAAAAAGTTAAATAGCATGAGGGTTGCGTTTTTTTAATAAGCTTTACTATTAATTTTAAATTAGTCTTAACTAACAATATAAACAAATCTTAGAAGTAATATTTGCCCTATGGAAGTGAAATAATAATAAAATAACTTCACACATCTAACCCACAGTAATCTGATTTCAAACTAGGCTGAGCCTGTACTATGGTAACCACACTTCTGATAAACATACTTATGTATTTCTAAATACATACCTACATATTGTAGATAGTTTACACCCAGACACAGAACAAATCATGATCATCACACAATATTTTTCCTAGGTGACAATCCAACTTGTCGTGGGTTCTCTGGCTTAACAGTAAGGGTCACTAACCACTAACTAACACACACTTAAATATATTGGAGATGACCTAATAATCGAGGCAGGCAGGTGAGAAGCAACGGCGAAGGATTACTACCTGAGTGGCGAAAGCAGGCGTCCAGCAGACTACTGAGCAGCACGAAGCACCTTGAGAACATTGACGCTAAATGACAGATTTAAAATAGAAAACCCAAGCCCGAAAATGACTACACCTATAACTCAGTTGTACATATAAGGTCCGAATCGGCCATAATTGTAAATGAAATCCGGATATATACGAGTAGGTCCATTGAACGGGAATATGGGACTTGTAGTTAGCGATTCTGACTGCTAAAATTCGTTCGAAATTCAGTTCCGATCTACTCTCGATCTACAAGAGTCATAATAGGTATTCTCGTAGCAGAGTATTAGACTAAGACTAGTAGAATACCGATTTAATTTTCAGTCACAAACGATATATGATCACATTACAGGCAACGTTGGATTTTCAAAACTTTACTATGAGAATACCTTTTATGGCGTCAGTAAGATAGAGAGTAGTTTAAACTGAATTATGGACGAATTATATTACGAGAATTGACCTTATGAGGTTGAGAGCGTAATTCACACTTAGCATAAATATTATGCGGTGAGCACGACCATACTAGGTATCTTCTGTTTAGGTGTACTTTATGTTTTACACACACATAGTAATTATGTAGTAGAAAGTTTATTGTGCTGCATACTAATGTATTATAATCCTAACTGTTTTGAAGCAGATACACAACTGCCCGTAGTTAATAAGCCCGCTATTGCTTCAATACAGCGTTTTACATTACCTAAGATTTAGGAATCATGTCTCTATCCGTGCAATTCCCCAAATGTTAGTAAAATATCCTTAGGTACCGACCCACAACCAGTGCTCAACTGTTCCTACTGGAAATGTCACAATAACTTTCTTTATGTTGCTATAAATGCTCACCATAATAATAAAAGTTAAAAGTTGATGCAGAGGATAAATCTCTTACTGAGGATAGACGTCTTACCTTACCTAGTAACCTATACATTGATCCCCGTAAATAGGTATTAGAGAGTGGGAGTGAGGTGTAGTCATTTTAACCCAAAAAAGACAAATGTTTGCGCGTTCACCGCAAAAAAGATACCGTTTATCGTATCGCCTCGGTTCGAGAGCACCTCCCTAAATGCCTTAGCCAATATTGCAGTCCTCGGCATCGAGACATCGAGCGAAGAGTTTGTGACATTTAGGGGGTAAGGTCAAAATGGTCTAGAAGAAGCTCGGTGTGCTGAACAGATCGAGGCAGTATTTCACTCCAGCCCATTGCCTCCAACTCCATAAGTTGCAAGTCCGAACGCATATAGAAAACTGCTCTCATCTCTATGCAGGGGCACCACAGTACCAGCTTCTCCCTCTAGATCGAATTCAAAGAAGAGCGACTCGAATCGTCAATAGCCAAAAGATTTGCGACCGGCTCGATGCCTTGGCGTTCGGTAAAGTTGTAGCTTCGCTCTGCATTCTCCATCGTATATATCATGGAGAGTTCTCCGAGGAATTGTTCGGACTAATACCGGCCGTAACCTTCCGCCATCGTTCGACACGAATAAATAAATAGCGTGAACAATACTGTAAGTTTCAGTGAAAAAGAGAACAAAAAAGTTGTAATTGAAAATGGTAATTATTATATACTCGTAGTAGAACTTTTACATTTCATTATTATTTGTTTAGTTAGTCAAGTATAAGAGAAACAAAAATTAAATATGATTATAACAGTAGGCAACAAAAATGATGACTTTATTATTGAAAAGAATCCTTTAGTTTCTGGAGTCTCACAATTTTTAAATCATTACACCCCTGTCTGCATCCGTAGATATCTTCTAATCATGCTCTGGCCAATACGAGTGTAAACTCCAGGCATACTTGTGTCACTACAATTAGCACTATGTGAGGTAATTCCAGTCAGTACAAATTGTTGTCCAATAGCTGGACTACCATAATCCATCTGAAATGTGCGGAGAGTTGATGTATAATGTAAAAAAGTATTCTTCAAGTATATGTTTTCAGGGACGATTGTGAAGGACTACCTTCACATGTTAAACACTAACTGCATGAAGTGGCCAGTAAGCAAACTTAACTTCAAGCAGTTGAACAAGCATGGAACGAGCTCAGCTGATGTGTGAGATACTAAATACTCCCTCAATCACGCTTCGGGGCCTCAAAACTTTTTTAATGTCATAGGAGGACAAAGGAGTAGACGGGTCACCTGCTGGTAAGTTACTACCTTAGCGTATTCATTTCCACCTGGAAGGAAGCTAGGCTGGTACTTACCCAGAAACCTAGCAGGCCTGCAGATTCGTCTTCGGCATTCCGACCGATATGCCTGCTGGACGAGGTGGCGAAACTCTTTGAAAGAGTTATCAACCAGCACGTGTTGCTAATGGGCCCCAACTTATCAAACAACCAATTTGGCTTCCGATAGGGACGCTTGACGCTGGACGCGATCTAACGCGTCCGCTCCTAGTGCCGTGCTTTGCAGTGGTGGGCGATTAGGGAGGCACTGGTGTATCACTAGGTGCCCCTCTACCTGCGAGACATCAACGGGGTTTATCTCCGCGACAGATCCAAATCGTATATGGGTCGTATGAAGAATGTAGAAGGGAAGTCACATGCGGGGTTCCCCAGAGGTCTGTCTTTGGACCCCTTCTGTGGAAGCTCGCGTATGATGCCGTCCTGAGGACCAGCCTTTCCCTTCGTCTGTTATGCGGACGAAATACCGCACAATTTCGTCGCCGACAGCGACAGTCCTGGCACGTTTCCCGTCTTTTGATATCTTGGAGGACATGGATGCAAGGGTGTATGACCGGACTCCACCGGAATGAGAGCGGGGAAGACCAGGATCAGCTAGAAATGCGCCAGAACAGTTCTAGCTATTCTCAATGCTTGGGTAGGTAGGGAGGGAGGTCGTGTCACCTAACGGCTGACGCAGGTACTCACTGGCCATGGTGGCTTTGGTGAGTACCTGAGTCAGATGGGACGCGAGGAGACGGCACAATGCCAGCACTGTGAGACCTGTTCCCGCCAGCAAGTGGCAGGGGTTGAGGCGAATACTAGTAATTTCGGTTGCTAGTAGACCTTTAAAAAGAAAAAAAAACATAGCTGTCATGCTGGCGGCTGAGGAGGGATGGGGTCTCTTTCTGTGAAGTTGTAATGCTCCAGAAAGGACCGCTGAACGGGATCGGGAGAGGGCCGATACCAACCGTCGACGGGGCCGCGGGCCGCCAGAGAGTGGAGACCCCTGTTGGCAGAATGATTGCTGCGGGAGAGAGATAGGATAGAGATAGGATTGCAGCCTATTTGCAATTTGCAATCAGGCCGCATAGAGCATAGAGACGCAATTTGGCCGAATTGAGGGGGAAGTGTTTTTCCCTGGGATATTGCCTGATTAGGCATGGTTTCAATTCGGGGAAGACCTAAAATAACATGGTCCGGGTCCTCCCAGAGTAGGGCGCCTGATGATTTTTAGTGGAACCACCAAATAGTCCCCGAGGAGCAGTAGATGCGAATGGATTTTCCACCCCTTCAACAAAAAAAGTAACTGACACCCATGGATACCACCACAGAACCAGGGGAAGGAGAGGGATGAGCACTAATAACCTCACTCATAGCCTGGTTCAATTTTTTTGCTCACTTGTATGTCAGTTATCTCAGTAAAAAGTAGCCTGTATTACTCGCTGATAATGTTGCTATCCATTGGTAGAAGAATTTTTTAAATCTGTTTAGTGGTTTCGGCGTGCAAGAGTAACAAAACAAACTCCTTTCGTTCGTTCCCGAACTCCTCCGAAACGGCTTGACCGATTCTCATGAAATTTTGTGTGCACATCGGGTAGGTCTGAGAATCGGCCAACATCTATTTTTCATACCCCTAAATGGTAAGGGTGACCCATCCCTAATTTTTTTTGTTTTGCAATACAACGTTTGCCGGGTCAGCTAGTATACAATAATAAGCAATAGTATGGGAGTGTGGATTAATGAGCATGATAATAATTAAAATCAATTTCCAATAATTACCGTACAAATATTAGATCCACCCGTAGCACAAAACATCCTAGTGCTTATACCATGCGTTTTCATTCTACACTCTTTTCTGGTAATAACTGACACTTTAGACATCTGAAGGGATAAATTGCGTTCAGTACTACGAGTATTCTGTAAAAATGTTTTAAAAAAGTTTATGAGCGAAAAAGAACTTGACTTAAAAAAATAGAAACATAAATGATTAGTCACCACTATCAAATTAAATGCAAGTGACAAAGTGTTCTCAACATAAATTATCAATTTTAGCACATCGTCGATTTACATAAATAAATTCAAATTCATTTCTTTTCCAAAATGTAGTAACTGCAACAGATGTTGAGAATTACAATATTGGCTCAGTACATTCTACCATGACAATGGTGTGCACAACATTAAAGCTTCAGCGTCTAAACGATTAAAATACTATCAAAACATATTCAAATTCTATTACTATTACAATATTCTATACTAATACTCTGTTTTCAGCACTGAACTTACTTCAAGAGAACCCCATCCAGTAATTGTTAGAACTTCTCCCTCTGTCGCATCACTGGTAGAGCCCGGAAGGCGAATAATTCTAGATTTCTCTCCATCCAATTGCATCCCTCCATCGACATTGACTACGCCAACATCAACATCGCCTGTGTTGTAATTGTATCGAGGATGCGTTGAAAAAGAGGTCGTAAGATACTCATAACCTCCACCAAAAAGACTAGCTTCTTTATTTCTGTAAGTACTGCCGATACTTACTTTGACTCTCTTGACTCTGAAATTAAGGTTGAAATAATTGTTATCTAGAAAAATGTACAGAGATATAAATACAGATATTGTTTGTAAGGGCAGGCCTGGGCTATTATAATATTAAAACATCTAAAACTTCCCGTGAACGGATATTTCGAGTCATCTGTTTCGGTTCAGCTTACAATTAGACGTATTTTTTTACTATTACTAAAAACGTTATTTGATTACCAGGCGATGCCAATGGGCTCCTATAACGTGAAACACAAGAAAAAGTGAAAGAGCAAATTTGATGTGTTTAATACGACCATGTCTATCTTATCTGGGATATGGATTGGTACGTGTATATATAAAAAATCTTACCCATAAAGACATCTAGCGGATGTAACTACACTTTTTGTACTAACAATAGAGCCACCACAATAAGATGTCTGATGTCCACCATATAAGTGCAAAAAAGCATTAAATGGAAAGTTTTCAATCCTGGCATCACTACTGCCACTGATTTTGTTATAATTGAGGATTGTGGACCACACACCTGAAATTTAAAAGGGGTTAATTTGATTGCTATGAAATAATATTTGTATCGGCTATCTTTGGTGATTTACTTAATTTCTTACACATAGTAAAAAATTAAAACAGAGGCAGGCAGGCAGAGTTATGTCCAGCCAGTGGACTACTAAAGGCTGTTGACTATGCAGTAATTGTTTTGTTATTTTTTATATGAATAGCTTCTAGTTCTTATTTTTGTTTAATTTTTTTACTATGTGTAAGAAATTAGGTAAATCAGCAAAGACAGCCAATATAAACATTATGTACATATTATTGTAATTGTATGTTTATTTCAATTCTTGATATTTGTAACAGCGGTCTGTCGTAAGGGCTGTCGTGTAAACTCAAGGCTGTCCTTGAGTTTATAAATATCAGCCCTTACGACATCACGAATGAATTACGAATATCAAGAATTGAAATGAAGATACAATTACATTAACATAGGGAACTAGTAAAGCTAAAGACCACGCTTTAAAAGAAACAAATACTTTGACTTAATGAACGAAATAATGGTTATTTCGTTGCGTAATATGCCGTGGCAAAGGGTGCAAGGAGTGTAACAGCTAATCCTTCTATAACCTGCTTAAAGACGTTGGATTGCCAAGAGCTTCAGTGAGCTCTGTTTTTGAACGAATTTCCAAAATGACATTGCTAGGCCCGTAAAAAATATGGTTGAGGGGTAACACAGCATGGGTAGAAGGGGTAGCACAGCAGACAGTAACAGCACAGCACTGAAGCGTCGCAAGGAGTACTCCCTAAACCTACTCCTGGGTCAGAATTCCCAGACGCTGTCAAAGTTGCATGTGTTGCCCCCATCTATCACGCGATGGACCCGCACGGTGAATCTATGGAATGCTAAGAAATAGGTCTTGTAAATATCGATCACTTTGACCCGACAACATTATAAAACTCGATAAGATATTTAGTCAACTATACTGTAACATCTTGAAAGAAAATGGAAAAGAAAAAGAAGTCGAGACGAAAATTTACCAAAGTATTACAATAACAGCAACATTCAAGATAAAAATAATTATTTCTAAACACAAAATCATTACTTTTATATTCTATTTACCTCTGGTGCAAGTGACAATACATAGCAATACGTAGTAACTACTTCTGTTACGCATGTTAATGCTATGACAGAAAAAGAAATAATTCTCAAGAACTAAATCTGAGCCTTAAATACTTTTATAAATATGACTGATAGAGTCACAACAATGCTTTTTTATTTTCATCTCTGTCCTTACAGTTAGAAATTCCTATGTTAATACCCCTATTCAAAAACATCATGCCATTTAATAAACAGTTGTAAAATTTCATCATTCACTTAATAAATCAATATTATTTCACTTATCAGGGTAGGTAGGTTTGTGCAAAGGGTAAAATCTATCAATGACAAGGACCCTCTTTGACCTAGAAATTGTATTAGCTAGGTTTGCATGCATTATTTTCATGTAACGTATTAGTCATTCATGCAATCATGTTCCTAATCAAAAAATTATCTATATGAGTGCATTTTTTAATTCATTCATTCATAGCGGATGAACGGCGGGCGTTAGTGCTCAAGGTCAAATTGTAGTGCTAATAGCTCTTGTAATTTTCATACAAAATGTCATTTTGTGCAATAATAGGTGCTAAAAAATTTTTGTAACAAAACATTCCAATGTAATTATTACGTTTATTCTAATATTTTGATGTAAAACATTTTTCAAAGCAAAATAAAAACATTTATTAAGTTAAGTTGAAATGGTTTCCCAAATTGCCAAATTGTTCTAAAATAAGAAAAAAGCTTATTGTATTGGTTGGTAATGTAATTCACTTGCACTGGAAGCCTTGACACAGAATGGTCAGTATTGATAAAATAAATTTGATTATAATTCGGTGGAATAATCAAATTTAACGCACTTAATACTATTCTTTGGTTTTACTCGATAGGTGTAGTCCATTAATCATGTGATGTTATTAGCTACTTTTTGATAAACCAAATATTATTTAATAAATCATTGAAATATGTGTATTAAGTAATTGATAAAATCATATTCATTTAGTACTAGATAACTAAAGTGCTATTTTTAGGTTTTGAAATCGCGCGTCACAAAAAAAGTACTATTACGTACCTCACTACACGCTTGAATTGGGTGTATTTGTCAAGTCGTACAAATATTTTGTCCGACCTGGAAATCTTTCCTGAGATCTATTCATCGAGGCTGTCATAATAAATTTTAATGGATATACAGTATACATTTGTGTAAGATTTAATCTATGTCGGAACACTTTAATAACTTTAAAACTATCTCCACTATTTAACTTTTTTAATATTTGGTATAGATATTAAAAAAGAAATCAATTTTTGTGACTGCAGAAACCTCTAAGGTCTTTACGCAGTTTCAAATTCCCTACTTTTGGGGAAAATCTGATTTCGACAGCAGCATTACTTGTACACTAGTGTGCGTGTCGCCGAGCGTAAATATCACACGTATTTACCTTACGCCTACATCAATTCTGTTTTTGCCTCAGACTCGATGGTTTCTTGATATGAAACTATCCTTCAAGCATTATTATTTTAACGTGAGTGCGAAAATCGGTATTGAACTTCTATCGCTAGCTGCCGATCTATAATGTACTACGGAACTGTACATCCCAAAAATATCTACAAAAAAGTCCCATTTTGAATATGACTATCTCCTAAGTACCTATCCGCTTTTATCTTTTACAAAAAGTAATAAGTTAGTTACAAAGCTATTTTAAACAATATGGTATTATTCTTTATCCAATAAATTCATTAGATACGTTGTGCATTTAATGTAAATATAAATTGCCCTTCACAGTATATCGTAAAAATGAATATCTTACGTACGTAGGTACGTACGTCCATCCCGGGTACCAGGGACCCTCAGGCGCTGAGCGTGGCTATAATTATAACAAATCCATTTTTTAAGTTGAACCGACTTCAATCAACACTAACATCAAAGAGCATTAAAAACCTAGCAGCCATTGCGGTTAATTTGCTGTAATTTTTGAAGAGTTCCGTTGTCTAAGTAAACTTACGGAATAAATTTCTGTACGTACCCATAAATGTTTGATAATCAACAGATTTGTCGTAGTATAGTACTTTCTAATAGAGACAATAATAACTACCATATTTTTAATATAAATACATGATAATTCGAATACTGTGGGTATACATATGTTGTCGATTCGAAACCCTTATTTAATAGTGTTCTTTAATTTGTAGAGATCAGCGTAGAAGAAAGGAGAAAATAAAATGGTTCTTTTTATTATTTAGTTTAAGCTTTCCCTGGAATTTCACAGATATTTCAAAACATAAATTGGACAAATCGGTCCACCGATTCTCGAGTTTTAGTATATAAGACTAACGAACAGCAATTCATTTTTATATATAATTTAAGATGTCCTGTAGTAAATTACTCCACACTAACACTACATTAATATCAACATTGCACCCGCCCGAAGCCGGGGCGGGTTGCTAGTTTATAAAATTATGTATCTTCTTTACATGGTATAATAAAGTCGCTTTTCGTGTTACACACTTAGATCTTTTAAACTAAGCAACGGATTTAATGCGGTTTTCACAAATAGAGAAAGTGCTTTAAGAGGATAATACATGCAAATTCTAGTGGAGAAAATCCGAGAATTTCAAAGATTTGTGATAAAAACATGTTTTTGTGCGCTTACATTGCAATAATGACTAAACCTTATGAGATAGACCATAATAATGTATTATGGAATTGTATATCTCTATCTCCTAAGGACAACTCACAGTAACCATTTTATCTTTTAAATATTACAAAGAAATTATGGCTTATATACGAAGCTATTTTAAAAAACATATTATTATTCCTTATCCAATTAAACACGTTAGGTACGTTGTGCATTTAATGTAGATTACAATTGTTCTTTGCAACATATCAATAAAATAAATATTTTAGAATATACACTCGGTTCCAAAAATTACGGGTCAGTCACAAAAATTGAAATACCTCCAGAACTGTAAAAGTTAGATCAATGAAATAAAGACTTTTTAGTTGCGCTTCTAATAGCATATTATTTAAACTGGTTGATAAAAAAAATCATTAAAAAAACAAAATTTAAAAAACTGACTATTTTTAAAAACAAAATTTTTGTTTCATTTCATTATAGATGCTTTCCATTTCTATTCTGTCACAAAAAAAAATATCGTGAACGTCTTCCACGTGCATAATTATTATTCTGTGAGGTGAAGCATGGCAGTAACGCTAGAGGAATGTACCAGAATCCTAACTACAAACAGCCAGAAACATTGGTGTATCTTTGTCGACTGTTCAGCGGGTAGTCCAGCGGTACCAAGCGACCGGATCACACCTTAGAAGACCAGGAAATGGCAGACCAAGATGCACAACGGCCAGGGAAGACAGACAACTGGTGGCTACAATGCTCCGAAATCGTTTTCAAACTGCTGTTGGTCTAAAAACTCACTTTATTCGCTTTGGAGGTGGCAAGCGCTCAAACAGTAAGAAGACGTCTTGCTGAAGCAAATTTGAAATCATTGAGGCCCGCAAATGGCCCCAAACTGGAACGGGGACATCGAATTGCAAGACAGAGATACGTGCGCGAGCACCTAAACTAGACACCATACGATTGGTCTGAATTTTGATTGGTTGAGTCTAAATTCATGCTTTATAAGCATGATGGTAGGCAGTTGGTGTAAAGAAGACCAGGGGAGCGCTTCCATCAAGCGTGTGTGGAGGAAAAAGTGGCGTACGGTGGAGGCTCCGTACAAGTTTGGGCTGGGATTTCTACTGAGGCCCGCACCGAGCTGGTACTAATTCAAAATGGAACTCTAAATGCAGAGAGGTACGTGGAAGAGATCCTCAATGAATATGTAGGTCCTTTCATGGCCAGTATGGACCGGCATGGCATATTAATGCATGATAATGCGCGTCCCCATACCGCCAGAATTGTACATGACTACCTTGAAGAGGTCGGTATCGAACTCATGCAGTGGCCAGCGCGAAGCCCGGACTTAAACCCCATCGAGCACGCCTGGGACGAGCTTCAGAGATGCCTGAAAGGTCGAAACCCCCCACCAATCACGCTTCCCGAGCTCAAACAAGCACTGGTGGAGGAATGGGAAGGTATTCCTCAGCACCGACTCCGAAATTTGGTGTACAGCATGCCTAATCGCCTGGAAGCTGTCAGAAGAGCTCGTGGAGGCAATACAAAGTATTAAATGAAGAAAGTGATGAAAAACAGCAAAAAAACAATCATAAAAAAATTTAATCTTAAGAAAAATATGACTACTTTAGTTTTTTTTAATTTAGAGATAAGTTAAGAGTTAGAGAGTTTAGATTTAAGTTTTATTTTATTTTTTATCTGTATAATTAAATTCTCAATTGAACAGTCTTCATTTCATTAGGATGGCATACGTAGTTCGGGAGATATTCGGGTTTATGTGACTCACCCGTTATTTTTGGAACCGAGTTTATTAGAGGTTTAAAATACGGGGGCCGTACGTGGGTCGCCGCTTCGGGCTGTGCGTCCGTCGCGGGTGGCAGCGGCCGGCAGGATTGGAGCGAGTCTATAAATATTGCATAATTGTCCTGAAGCGTAGTCCTATCATAATAATAGTATATTTAATTACTCCACACTGACACCACATTAACAGTATTAGTAGTACCTACATTGCACCCGTGCAAAGTCGGGGCGGATCGCTAGTAAAGTTATGTTTTAAATGTAAATAATATTTGTGTATAAAATTATTATAGATAAAATAATAATAACTTAATAAAGTGAAGTAAAATTAATTGCACGTCAATTCCTTTGTTACAATTTAAATTTTTGATGTTTTTTTACATGAGTTTTTGTGTGAAGCAGTAAATGTTTTATTTTTGCTTAATCACTTACCAAGTAAATATATGCAACTACTACAGTACTGTAGTACAGGATGTGCAGTGTGAAATACCTTCCTATTATACTTTGTAAAAAATAAGTTCCTGGCAAGTTACTGAAAAAAGTCGAATAGGTGCGAAAAAAACATTTAGCTGGCTGTAGTGTGAAAAACGGAGAAAATGAGAGTTGCTGAAGTCAATTTATTTTGGAACTTTACGAGAAAACACGCCTTTATCTT